TTCAGGCTAGTGGCTAAATATCATTCTTTGGCTTTATGCCTGTTTTTTAGCTTACTTTTCCTCAGCTGTGGTGGGTTTGCTGGGGCAGAAGTGGGATGCTGACCAGGAAAGAATGAAAATTTTGGAATATGCTTGCCAAGCATATTCCAGAGACAAACTTTGGAAAATCATGTTTTGTTTTTATGTCTATACATTAAGTTAATCTCTTCAGTAAGCCAGGTTTGCTCAAGAATGTGATTTTTGAGAAAGAGTGGCAATTAAAATTCCTTATGTACTTTCCACCCTTAGAGCTGAAGCCAATGCATCTTAAAAAATAAAAGCAAACCACAAACACATGTGCACAGTGTGAGCATCTGATCACCTGACTTCAATCAATTGATATTTATTTATCTGAACCCTGTTTTTCAAAAGTTTTGACTGACACAAGTGTTCCCTCTGATGTCTATTTAGGGATGCTTACCAGACATCAGACAGACAGACAGACAGAAGAGGGAAACTGGCTTTTGCTCCAATGGTTGCCATGTAAGTTCTCTTTTTCCTATGGAACCTTTTTAAAAGCCTCCATCAGCTATTTGAAGGAGAGTCATTAATAGAGGTGAAGAGAAAAGAAACAGACTTTCATTGCTTTTAATGCAATGGCTAGAAAAATAAGTATGAACTTTTTCTGCAGCTTTTGTGTCCTATTTATTCCTTTTATTGGTTTTTCACAGTCTTGGACTGTCTATATGCAGAATAACACTTTGAATAGGGCCCCAGTGGTCCTTGAGTTTAGTCAAGAACTTAAATCAGGCTTAGACTTTAAAGGACTTTTTTTTTTTTTTCTGCGAGCAAAAGGTTTCCACATTATTTGAGGTGTAAAATGGTTTTTTTTCTTCTTTTTTTTTTTTTTTTTTTTTAGGAGCTGGCTGTTGAATCTCAGAGAGACTCAGCCAACTAACCCTCTTAGGCTCCCTTGAAAATCCCACCCTTCACCAGATAAAGCATGGTGTTTTAGCTGAGTAATGAAATTAGCATTCACATGGATGTCTGATCCCATGTTTTGTTAGAAGAGACTTAAAAAGGGACTGGATAGCAGAATAATTAACTGTGGAACTTTCTCATTCTGTTAAACAACAATTGATGCCAATAACAGAGGCAAGAAAGTGAGGTCAGAGCAGAGACAAGAATCTAAAAGACAGCTGCTGGAATATGAGCCATTTGCTTCCTGCATTTAAAATGAAAGACCTGAATGCCCCAGTGGTTCTCAGTGAGAAATGGAAGTAGAACCAAAATGGTGGGAAGTAGAACCATGCAAAGAAACTAAATTTTTTTTTTTTTTTAAATTTTTGCACATTTTAGAAGACACTCCTATTCTAAGAAATATATTTTAGCCTTTATGGACTGGTTTGTTCAGCACAGTTTAAAGAGGGCAACTACAAGTTGAAAAAAGTAAAATGGGAAAAAACACAGTTATGTCTAAAAATAACTATAAATATATAATAAATCCACAGTCTCAGATATATTCTTCAGTTTTATTTAGAGAATTACAAACATGAGTTTAAGAAAACTTGTTTGTACATAAGAAGTAGTATAAATACGCTTATAAAATAAATATAACCTTTAATCGGTCAGGAATCCTACTGAAAACTATGTGTGTATACACACACACATATATGTGTGTGGAAGTGGGGATGATATTCAGACACAGTAATGGAGCAGTATCAGGACTTTTTCCCCTTGTCAATACACTCCATTTCAAGAGGGAAGGTAGCAGCTGTTTGGCATTGTGATATTACTAATACCAGCACTCTACATATCATAGGCATTTATCACATATCCAAATAGTGAAGGAAAGTGAACTTAGAGAACTAGGTACAATTTTGTCTGAAACTAGGTCCGCGAAGATGTGAATAAAGACAAATAGCACCTTACTTTTCTCTTTCTCATCATGAACTCCATGATTAAATGTTGGTTCAGTAGAGATCCATGAGAACCATCTTCTCTTGCAACATTAGCACCTTCTTCTCAGTATCTGGACTGCTACTAACCTAACCCAATTCTGCTTAAATCATAAGGTGTAGTGAGCTGGCTTGTTGGTTTGTCTTGGTTTCTTGTTTTGGGTTTTTTTATTATTTCGTTTGGTTTTGTTTTGTTTTTTAATATGGTCTAGCAGAATAAAACAAGTTAAAGAGCTTTGGCTTAGTTGAGACCTAAGATTATCAGGCTTTAGCTGCACGCAAGCAAATTTAGCAGTGAGTACCAACTTAGTCCAGTCTGGGTCAAGGCTGGGGAAATCATATTTTGGGGAAGAGGAGATCCCTATTCCACATCCTTTGAAGACTGGAGCTAAAATTAGATAGTGGCTGCTCGCCAAAGAAAAAAGACATTTTTTCCCCTCTTTTGCAATATATCTAAAAGTCACACTTTCAGGGATTTCTATGGACCTGTCATACATTTAAGAAAAAACATAGATCTTCCCATTCACCTGTGAACTAAAAGCTGGCAACTTGGACACAGAGATTAATCTGTTCTGACTTGGAAGAATATTTAGGAAATATGTATCATATCATTGTACCCATTAATGTCAGCTTAATAAAAATACATGTGCAGTTTTTAGCTGTATTTAGGGACACTTACTCTGAATCTCAGGTTTCAAAGTTGGTCTGAGTTTCAAGAGTAATTACTAGTCACTCTATGAAAATCAGGCTCCCTTTCCCTTTTATGTGCCTTGCATTAGAGTTCACATCTCTTCCAAAAACCTTAAGTTTTCAAAACCTATACCTAGAGAAAGAAAGCCCAAAAATTTAGTCCTTGGTGCCCCAGGCAAGTCTCTGTGGCCAAACGTGAAAGGCAAAAGGGTAATCAGAGTTCAGACTCTGTTACCTTCGAGGGGCCAGAGCTCTGAGTCACCGTCATAGTGGCTCAAATAACATATTTGAACAGTTCCTCAGACAAGAAACCTGGATGTCAGATGAGGAAAATTGTGATTCTCATGGGAAAAAAATTTGGTAAACATGTTTCACATCAGGCACATGCTCACACAGACAAATCCAGTTTGTAGCCCTCTGTTAGTTTTCTCCTTATTTAGTAAGAAAACATATATATCAATGTAGTCTTTTTAATTTTTCTTGCGGCCTAAGCTTCACTTACGGACTCCCAAAATTACACCACTGAAGAGTAGAGACTAACCTCAATGTTTGGTGAAAAAACACAGGAAAGACAGAACCTCCCCTGAGGAACAGAGTAGAAGCAGTGAGCAATATTTCCAAACAAGTGGACAAACAAAAATATACAAAGTAGCCACTACAAAGTCAGTGCATGTCTTCTCATTTCTTCTGGATATTTAAGGTGAATCAAAGCCAAGACAGAGACTTATGCAACTAGAGGGAAACAGTCCACGTGTTTAGGCCATTTTCTTGTGGCATTTCCTGATGTAAAACTGCAAAGCACAACAGTTCTTGCTCTAAGCTTCTTCGTGCTTGTATATTGTTCCACGTGAAATAGACACTGACAGCAAAGATCCAGTTGTGGAGTTTGTTTTTTTTTTTTTGCTATTGCTATTTTGAGGAACAGTAAGTCTCCATTTGGGATGGGACAAGAGGAAGTTTTCTGAGGAGAAGTGTCAATGGTGAGGCAGAATTTATTTATTTATTTATTCTCCTCTTAATTAACTTTCTTTCTCAAAGGATCTGGGTTTTGCAGTGAGTATCCATGTTGGAAGCAACATGGCTGTTGAGCATTTACCAGAATTATATAGTATGAAAGATCCTCCTAGTATGCTTTCAGAGGCTGGCAACAAAAAATATTCATTTAAACTTATTCCTATCCAAAAGCTGAGTAACTGTTTTAGAGAACTCCTAAGAAATGTACAAGAAATATCCATATGCAAAATAATAGGTGCCAGGGAAATTAAATCCCTCTACCAAAGCTGTATTTATCTTACAGTCCTCTTTTTTTTTTTTTTTTTTTTTTAATAGAAAGGTCATTTCAATTAGCAATTGAGGGCAGGGAGTTATTGTTGGTAGGCACAGCCCCATATTGATGGTTCCTCTATACGTCAGTGCACGAGCATTAACATTACTCAGATAATCTTGCTGGCAAGCAGAGAAACAACTATCATGTTACTTGAAAGAACTGAAGCTATATTGTACAGCAGTCATTAGTCTCCTTGAATCTGCTCATAATGGTGAATGCATCATTCTGCCTGCCTGCAACTTGTGTAACAAACAGCACAGCCAAGTCTTTTCCAGTTCTGTTATTCTGTTTTAAAAAACACTGACATTTTCTTAAACAGACATAATTTACAATTTTAAGTAACACAACAGTGCCTTGGTGTGTAAGGGCCAGCAAGCAAACAAGACTCCTTTCATAAAGATTAAAAAAAATAAAAAACACAGTCTCGTGCTCTCTGAGGTCACCATGGATTAAAACTGGGGTGAGGGGAGGAGGAACTACGACCTTTCTGTGACACATCTTTGGTTTTGCAATATGTCTTATGCTCCCACAGCAGAAACCCGAAGTGCAAGTAGAGTTAAAAGCAGCATGTAATGCCCTCTGGGGACATCAACTACCTGTGTCTACACCATCCTCTCCTGTGTCTACTGCACCTCTGAGCATCCATGCTGTTTTGATCTCTGATCTCTGAACAAGTTACCTGAGTTCCCCAGATTGCCAACACCACATGGGAAGCACTGGGAGCACTCACAGTACCAAAGTGTACCCGATAAACCAGCTGGTTGAACCACCTTGTCCTGCACCAGCTCCTGAAGCATCCTCCAGCTGCCAACATGTACCCCACCAGTCTGCATGGGACACCCCTACTACTCACATTCCCAGGTAGAAATATAAATATATATATATATATTTAATTTTTAGAATGGGCTTAGCTTGGAGGCATGCTCTTCATATGTATCATCTGTGTGCCATCCATCTATACTGCAAAGCACAAGGTGGAGCTCATGAACTGGCAAGTGAAGTCCCAACATATAGTGAAGTGTTAGTAAATAACATGAATTCCCTTCTGGTGGGCACTAAACAGAAAACACTGTCCTGCTTATGGCCCTGGCACAGCTGGCCTTCTCTGCTGCTGCAGTGCTGCCTGGACAATTCAACTTGTCTGAGTCTAGCAGCTGAAGACAGATCACAAGCACATGACATTGCAGACCTCCAGGACGAAAATAATGGCGTACTTGTCAACGCTGAACTGCTGTGGCATCAGTCAGGGTGGCAGCTAAGGAGTGGATGCACTTTCCTTTCCTGCCTTTTGTAGAAGCTGCTGTAAAGGGCCACAGAGGTGGCCTTTTTTCTCTGGAATTAGCTTTTTGCTCTCCGTTTTTCCATGTTTGGAGGACAACATGCTTCTCCCTGTGGGAGACTGTAATGTACACCATAAGGTAAAACTGTTTTCTGTCACGGAATGTTAGCTGAGGGCATTAGTCTTGAATCACAGCCCCTGCATTAGTATGGTCTATGAGAATCCTCTTATCCCTGACTGTCATAACAGTGGGTTCATTTTTCCCCCAGGGCAGAGCACCTGGCAGCCCACTGTTATCCTTCCATCTTTTCAGGGTGCACTCTGGGTAAAGGGATCAGCATAGCACTGTGGGATAAAAGTGATGAGAGGCAGCTATGGCTTTACATAAAGGGCTAAATACTTTTATGAAGTCATAGATAAATAAATCATCCCATATATAAGTATCTCTGAAAAAACAAACAAACAAACAAAAACAACACAAAAACGCCACAAACAAAAAATAAACAAACAAAAAAACCTCCAAACCAAAAAAGTCTTTTTTTACCTGAGGATTATCAACTCTGTGTTAAGTGACATGAGGTCCAAAATCCAAAATCCTTCACTAAACAGTCTGTCAATCAATTCACCAGACCCTACAACTGCAACAGAAAGGAACAACATCTTGTCGTCTGTGACAGCCTATGAAAAGTATGTGACTGCTACGTTAAATTAATGATGGATTGAAAACAGCAGGTGGCATGCAAAGTGCAGCACTGGTATTGCCTAATAAGTGAGCAGAACCACTCTCTGAGGGCGAATTTTCCTCTCAGACTCCCAAAGCAGCTAAAGTGAGAAATACAACAGTAACACAGCCTGAAGGACAAGGAGATGTGCCTTAAATACTCTCCCAGGCTTCTGAGCTGTGCATTCATGGCTCAGACTCACTGCATAACAATCAACATTTTTTTAAGCGTTGGAGGGCTTTTTAACTAGTGACATTTAATGGACGTTTGGTAATGGAGAGAAAAAAAAGTTTTGTTTACATTATAGGCTCCAAATGAGATCACGAATGTCCTAAGCAGTGTGACAAAGGCTGCTGTCAGATGGTTTATGATTGAGCAGGAAGAGGAAGCCTGGTGACTCATGACCCATACCTGGACATTTACAGAAAATTTCTCAAATATGAGTAGTTCAAATAGCTCAGATAAGGATTAGGTAAGAACGTACATATGGGAGCTTTATCTGAAAGTAGTTCAAGCTGTGAACCTTTTCCAAAACATTTTGGTCTGAGGTACACCCCCTGTGTACACTCAGCCTTTTGGTCATGCTTACATTTTGCTGAAGGAGCAAGTTTGATAATATTTTCTTCACTTACTCTTCCTTATCTTCTGGAACTTCAACTCACATCGATAAAATAACATGATCCACAGGGGAAACTGTCTGATTTTTCCATTGTCTATAGGCTACAGAAAGTTTTAAATCAAATCTGAAATTAAAAAATTGGCAGAATATGAATTGAAGTAAGTATTAACTAGAAACTTCAGCACAAAGTATATTCATCTGATCAAAGCAATATTCTATATCCCGTGGAAGCTTTTGAAGAATATTTAGAAGTAAAACAAGTGGGAAAAATCTCTCTGTGCCAAATTTTGAGCTGTTTCTTAAACACACATCAAGGCAAAGCCATAAAGCAGCCAATTGCCTGTATCTTCTGCCAAGAGCAGCATTCCCTCTTTCTCTCTCTCCCTCTCTTTTCCCCTCCTACTCTCTCCAAACGAACAAGATCAAGATCAAGAAAATTACATCAGATCCCTGAAACGCTCTTCAGGTTTGCAAGAATATCACATCCACATAAGTACAAACACACACAACACACACACACACAAACCCCTACACAAGTCCCTTTAGATCCCTCTGTTGCTGCCACCACCGAGGAACAACCACAGGACTTTATAGAGAGGTAGTGGCACAGAGAGGTGACGGAGAGAAGCAGAGGATTTGGTAGCCATTGAAAAGCTACAAAGCAGAAGTAGGGTTACAGAGTGGAGAAGAGAGTGGGGAACATTTGCTCTGGACGCCAAAATTACTCCCTACAGCTGTGTGCTAATATTATGATTATTATTTTGGCAGAGGTTTTATTGTTTTCTTTCCCAAGCTAATCCTACTCCCCTCTTGTGCAGGTATTGAGTTTACGCTGGGCCAAAAAAGCAAAAGAAACAAGACCATCAGTTTTAGATTTGCGGTGTTCCATCCAAGATATATAGCACAGGGCAGCAAGGGAAAACAGGAGAAGGAGAGAAAAGGATGTGTTAATGGTCACAGGCTAGGTGAAGATCTTTGACTTTTCAACAGTTTTAGCTCAGAGTGAAAAGGTGGCAGGGATGAGGAGAAAAAATTTTAATTCCCGATTGTCTCTGTTGTAAATAATTGATGCAAATAACTCAGTATATCTGATTAGCCTGAAGCTCTGTGAAGACATTAAAAAAGCTTTAGTACTAGAATATTATATTGGAGGAGGTTATGATCAGATGCTTTTCTCTATCAGTCTTCCTTCTTCTATCAAAATACAGTATCATTTATCATTACAGACCTTTTATAGCTGTCACTAGTTTACATCAGCTCAAGTCCTCTGGATATCACATGCTGAATCAGCAGCCTTCCAAACAGCACTGTCTGTGACAGGCACCGATGCCCAGTGGTGGTAAGGCAGTTTTAGTTCCTTGATAGTATGAAAAATGCTTTACATACAGTTAAACATTTTCCCTTGCCCAAAATTTTTCTTTAGATAACTCCTTTCCTTAGAACTCCCCCTCCCCCAAATATTCCTTTATTCCTTAGAAAATAAAGCTCTGTGCTCAGTTTCTGTATCTGAGAGTCCCTGCAATATGAGACTTCCAAGCACATTTTCTCAAAATCCCTAGCAGAAGAAGGCATGACAAAGTATGAGCCAGTATGGGTACAAATCAGAATAGAGCATGAATTTGTGAATATCAGTAAAGCATGTTTCGATTTAGGTTATTAATATAAGAGGAGGTGTTTGGTCTTAAAATAACATTCCAGTATCCTATATTTTCTCTTTATATTGCCTTTCTTTTTTCCTATTCTGATATTTATTTTCATATGTTGTTTCCCTCTGTAAGCCTGTTACTTTTATCATATATTTTTCCTTCTTCTACTTAAAAGGCCTAACAGTATTTCATGTATTTTTTCATCTTTGGTGTGCCTCTTTTATTCCAGCCTCCATTTTCTCGTGTCTGAAACAGCAACACTCATTTGTCCTCTCTAGGGTGTCTCTCCTGAAAAGCATCTTAAATCAGAAAACACTTAAGCACATGTTTAGCACATCCAGGAGTTATTTTTGACATGAAGTGCAAGGTAAGCATTTACCTGAAGTTGATCAAAGTTCAACTGCTTTGCCAAACAGGTGCAGACTTTGTGTGTATATAGAGATATATATATATATACATACACATATACATGCACATAAGATAAATGTTTTGTTTGAAACTGAACAGTTTTCCAGAAGGAGAACTGCTGGCTCATGAAAAGTGTCTGGCAAATTATAACCTCTGTCTTGGGTACCTAAGGCATATTACATTCATTACCATCACTCATCCCAGTGCCTATTAAATAAGCCCCTGCACAAAACACATCCTTTCTTCATCCATGACACACAAGTAGTGTTTCTTTCCAAACTGTTCATTCCTCTGCTGCACTGGACATCTGCAGAGGGAGGAAGCCACTGCAGTGGAATAACAGCCAGGAGAAGCAGCACATCCTGGAGCTACTCTGGTACAGGGCCACAGGCACTATATCTAGGAAGCTGTCCACCAGCTTGGATGATGCATGAAGCTCTGCAAAGCAGCTAAGCTGATCTGCCTTTGCATGGGCTCAACAGATCTTATCACCAGCAACCTGTAGAGGAATGTGGCATGGCCACAGATCCATGGGACACACACACACAGATCCCTTGGGGTCAGCAGTTCCAGGGAGATGATTCTGTCCCTCTACTCTGCTCTGGTGGACTCCATCTGCAGTACTGCATCCAGCTCTGGGGCCCTCAACATAAGAAGGATGTGGACCTGTTAGAGTGGGTGCAGAGGAGGGCCACAAAGAAGATCAGAGTGCTGGAACACCTCTCCTATGAAGACAGGCTGAGAGAGTTTGGGTTGTTCAGCCTGGAGAAGAGAAGTCTCTGGGAAGACCTTATTGCATCTTCCAGTACCTAAAAGGGTCTACTAGAGAGCTGCTTTGGGACTTTCCACAAGGACATTAGTGACAGGACAAGGGCTAATGGCTTTAACCTGAAAGAGGGTAGATTTAGATTAGATGTTATGAAGAAATTCTTTACCTCAGATGGTAGTGAGGTGCTGGAACAGGTTACCCAGAGAAACTGTGGATGCCCCATCCCTGGAAATGTTCAAGACCAGGCTGGATGGGGCTTTGAGCAACCTGGTCTAGTGGAATGTAGCCCTGCCCATGGCAGAGAAGGTGAAACTATATGATCTTTAGGGTGCTTTCCAACACAAATCATTCTCTGATTCTCTGATTCAAATTGCAGTGCAAGCACCTTTACTGCAGAAGGGAACTCAGAATACCATTCACTGATACTTATTATTCATATTGAAATATATATGTGCCCTCAAATATTTTTTTTTTTCACTCAACTCATATTGCAGCTTTCTCTCAGGCTGTACACAGACATGCACATAGACACCCACACACCTGTATATGCCTATAACAGGACTTTGTTCAGTTTTGACCTGGGCTCCTTCACTTCGTCAGTTGGATAGTTGAAAAAATGGCAATATTACTTTCAGACACAGGATAGACTTGGCTTTCAAACCAGAGCTGTTTCCTGTGCAGAATTTAAGAATGTGGGCAGACGAGTTTGCCTCTGCTTGTGCCATTGGTCTTTTCCAGAAGCAGGGCTTACCCCCTAGGCTCCCTTCACCTTTTTTCTTGGATAAGTCATGTTTTCTAAACCTGTTCTCAGGAGCTGTTTTCACACCATATTGGAAACTTGAATTGTGACTTCTTCTGGCAACAGATTACCTAAAAAGCCTTTATGAAGCCTGTATCTATCTGGGGATTCAGTTGTTGAATGCATTTAGATATGCCAAGGGTACCAAATGTGTTTAGGTATTTTGCTGAACAGAGACGATATTAACGTTAATAAGAACTACTTCCACAAGAAAGTAATTGCAAAACTGGAAGTCTTTTTGTTTTACTTCTAATATTAGAGACTCCTCTCAGAGTAAGACTCTGGGTGAGGAAGCAGAAAGACAATTACTTCCAGTGTACTGGGTGAATTTGCCAGAGGAGAGAAACTGAATGTTTGATGCGTTCCCCAAGGCCAGTGTTCCACAATTATAAAAATATACTACCTCCCCCGTAACTCTGTGAATATAAAATGAAGCATCGTACCTACTATTAATTAGCTGTATTTTGTAGTTTTATGGACACTGAACATGGTGTGGTAATTTGCATATATTAACATGTAATTTACATGCATACTGCAAGGTATTCAGTTTTATTGCCATTACCTTTTGTGGCCTATTTCTCTAATGACTGTAATGGAATACAAAAGAGATTTCTCATTGTGTTTACCCTGTTACCTTATACATGAGTTTCAGAATAAGGTGGCATGCTGAGAAGTGGGAATTTTCATGCAAAAGGTTTTGCTTTCAAGTCTGAGTTACTTCTTGACCACCCACTCTGCTGAATTTTCTAATGCTTCCTATATTTCCTTGGCCACTGTTCTTTTTTCACCCACATAAGGACACACAATGTTTTAAAAGTCAGGTACAAGTGTAGAGATTTGCTCCTTTGCCTGCACTAAAAAAAGAAAGTCAGACACAAGAATTAATGGGTTCTACTCTGTCTATCAGCACCTAAAGGCACAGAGAGAGAAAAATAATCTGCAGCTGGTGAAAGCTGAGCAGGGTCAAAGGGCAGTGCCTGCATCTGCATTCACTGAGAGGCAGAGAGGAAAAATAAAGGGTCTCTTTTTGTTGCAGCTCAGCACTATTTTAGAAAGCACAGATACCAACTTAATTACCACAGTTCCCTTTTGCACTAGAGCACTGTAGCAGGCTATAAATCAATACTTAAGGTCACATTGCTAAAAGCACTGAAAAAGAGTCTTTTCTCTCACTATAGCATGTTGTTTGCTGCTCCTGCAGCAGTGTCATGAGAGCTTGATATCAGATAGCTAACAGGACTAAAACAATGATTACAAAAGAAATCAGAATTGCAGAAACATAAGGTGCAAAGTGAGCAAGTCCAGTTATAGCAGATGCCATGGTTGCATCAAACCTTCCGTCCTCTCCCAGCTCAGAGACAGAAGACACAGCAGCAGGTGCCCAGGAGTACAAAATACATTTCATTCAGGGTTGAATTCTTGTTCTTGTTCTGGAGGCCAAGTGGATGGGAGAAGAGCACATCTGAAAAAATTACAGTTATTTCTGCTGAGTATATCTCTGGCAACTTTATCGTACATCTGAAATCAATTATACATGTGCATGCATGACATCTTATTTCAATAAATTGTTGGGAATAGGACTTAGGAGTTGCAAAAATAGATATTTTTTTTTTTCCATTTGCCTTCCTATTATACCTGCTGACCGAGATATTTCACAACCTTTGGAAGGGAAAACAACTCATATGAGATTTGGAAGATATGGAAAAAGCCACTTCCAGCTGAGATACACTTGGCACAGCATTTAATGGCTTAGCCAGAGGGAGGCTTCTTTATGTTTAGGTTCCCACTGACAGTATGCAGCCAATACTAATATTAGATAGATAGAGAACTTGTATCCAAGTGCCCAGGGTACAAGAAGAATGAGACACAGGATCCCATAAATGCCTAATTTAGATGCTAAATCACCTACACCTTTGCTGTTTACAAACTAATTTATGGAGTTTATAAAAAGTGTAATTGCAAATTAGGGGGGTTGGAATTAAAGAAGTTGGAAATCTATCCAATATTAAAAAACAGTTTTCAAGAAAATATTTATTTTTAAAACATAAACAGATTTCCATCTAAATTGAAATCTAATTTCCAAAACTTGCATTCCAAAACTGCAGAAGGGACTTTAATCCCAGATGCTGGTGAACCCACATTATAGCACACTGCTAAACAGGATTATTAATCTGGGTGTGAAGTGGCACAGATGCATTCATTTTAGAGCTGCTGCTTCTAGATTCCCTGAATTTCAGCCCAAACACAGCCCGTGGAAGACTGTCAAAACCCCTGTACAAGTGGGAAAGCGTGGACACATGTCCGGGAGTTAATCACATCAGGCATGCACTATGTAGCTCATCAATAAAAGCTTTTATTTAGAAGAAGAGCCTAGACAATGCATTTTGGACTCCACAAATCACGTTTTCTGATGGCAATTTTAATGAAAAGTTTCTGAGAGGAAGAGCAAGATAGTGATGTCATTTTGAGTGGATGTGGGGATTATTTTTTACCCTTTTGCACAAGTACAAATAGCTCCAGTAACCTGTGACATGCCTGTCCTGATAGCAGAGTCTCCAGAGTACCAGAATCAGCTTCCTGAGACATTGTTTAATGAGGAACTGGCCTTGATTCTGGCATGCAGAGGAAAAAAGTTGTCCATGTGCATCTTCATATTTAGATGTAAAGACAAAGCTAATCTCTTCCTTTTGAGTCTTTGTCAGCAGGACTCATGCATGAGTAGTGAACATGTACTGGCTACAAAGAAGGAAAAGATATTATTTCTCTTTTGGAAAACATTGGTGTTCTGATGATGGGCATTACTTTAGTTCCTAAACAGTTACAGAGATGGGGCTTCCTTTGAAATTGCTAATGCACTTTTGGATGTATTTAGTTTGGAAAATTTTGAAAGTTTCCAGATCAATTGGATAAGTATTTGTGGTAAAATTTGACAAAGCTTCTATATTCCAGTAAAAACAACTAAAACCCCAATATTCAAAACTATGCCCAGAGTAAATTTACTACTTCCTTATTCATTGATGTACTGCTGATTTGAAATCATCAATTAAGGCTTCTAAGACTTCTATAATTGAATTATGTTTGATTCAACTATTTTGAAGGATTAAGTAGCGCTAGAGAAGAAAGGAAACCTCAATGTCCTTTAAATCATAGGAGATTAGACAATGCCTAAACGTTTGACATTACTTGTAACATTATTTACTGCAGTGAGAGCTATGAACCCCATAACTATGTGTTCCAAGTGTTACTATATTTATTTAAATTTGATCATCTGCCAGACCTCATCCCATTCTTTAGCAGCTTCAGCCGAGGCTTAAGGAGCAGTTATGGAGGTATAAATGGGAAGGTGGCTGCGGATAAAACATTGTACCAAAACTCCAGAAAATAATAAGTTTTGAGAAGTGGGCTGCAATACCTTGGAAGCAAGGTATAAAGCATTACTTAGGAAAACTTTAAGTGAATATTTTCTAGACATGCTAAAACTAAACTTTTTAGATAGTGACTAGTGTTGTTGTATGACCCAAGTAGCATAGAAGTGAAAAAAAAAAGCCAGATTGGGCCACAACTGTTTGTTGTCTTAGATTTTCATGATTGCATACAGTGCATTTCTGCCACTGAGGAAGACTTTTTTTATGCCAAGAGGGATGGCACTGAGCATTAATCGCAGGTTTCCTCCAGCAGTGCCACCATAAATACTGAATATGCATAAAATTCACAACTGAAACTAGAATGACATTTTTTCTTCTTCCACAGACTATCATATGCAGAAGAAGTGATGTAGAGAAATCCACTAACATAAACAGAAAAAAAACCAGCAAGAGCTCTTACTCATATCCAGCAGATTTTGCCTGAGGGACACTTTAAGACGGTACTGTTCATCTTGAAATTCTTGAATGCTGTAGTTTTCATCCTTGATACAGGTTGATAGTCTTCAGCCATAGTGAGTGTATGCTTTCAGATTTTAAAAAGTCCTGTAATGATTTCCATGTTACTTGCATACCTTTTCCAGATACAGCCTCATAAAAGTACATTTCCTTTACATTCAGTATGACACATTTAGATCTATATATGCTATCAGTTTAAAGGTCATGCAGGCAGCTGAAAATGCCCTTAATTAATAACACTGAATATGCATATACATGTGTGTATATATGTATATATACACATATTTCTATGTCTGGTATGTATAACAACATCTTGATTGATTGATAAAGAAGGAAAGTGTGCCATTATTTCTAAATATCTGTCTCATTTATATTCCATGACTTGACAAATGCAGAGTACAAAATTAATAGTGTTTCTGGTTCAGATGTTACAGAAACACATAAATGTTTGTGGATTTTGAGGACTAGAACAAGCAATAAATATTCAAATATATTTGTATCCACTCTTGGCTGTTTTGTGGATTTTCACTGTAAGTTTGATCAGGTCATAGAAAATCTGCTCCCTAGGTGATCCATAAAGCAGGATGAAGTCTTAAAGCTACATCATAGTAATGTTATGAATTAGTTACTGCAATTAAGGTACTGAAGTATTTTATATGGTTTTGCAAGAGATTTTCTGCATGGGATGCCCATTCTACCAGTGTATAAAGGGGTTGTTAAAACAGCACCTGATAAACAACTCCCAGGGAACTTGAATCCCCATAGAGTTACTGATTCGAAAACAGATAAGAAACTGTGCAGCATGTTCTTAAACACCATCTACTGGTTCTGCAAATGGTCAAAAATGTACATGAAAACATCAACAAATATGTTGGTCTTCAGCAAGTTGAAATTGTACCTAGCAGTAGATGTTCTCTATGTTGTTTTCATTTATGCTGGCCAGTTCATTTGGTGGTTTGTGATTTCCTTCGGTTTTCTTTTGGGGGCTGGGAGACTCAGATGTCTGAAAAACATGGAAGTATCTTGGCCAAAAATGCAAAACAATTATTTGAGATGTGCTGCCACCGTTTCTCGTGACATAAGTAGTTTGCTTACTTTGTGCCTCAGGCTAATCAATTGGTAGACCTCTTTGTCCAGCCTACATGTCCCACACTCCACTCTGTTTTTTTCCCTGGGTAAAGCTGCAGGATATGAACCCTAAGCAAAACCACCCTTGCTAAAGAGAAATGAGCCATCAGAAGCAATATTATGTATTAGGCTAGGAACGTGTATAGACAGGAAGATATCTTTAATCTTTGTGGAAACAATAACAGTTTAAGGAGAAGGTACATGGTAATATATCACCACGATAACACCCAGATGCAGCCAAGCTGTGGCATCTAAGAGTTGGGAAGCATATACAGATCTGGTAAACATAAAGTCAGATTAGCATTTAAAGCTACAGATTATACTTTAACCAGAGGAGCTTGTTTGAGGCAGGCAGCAGTTCCACTGTGCAGTATAATGCATATCCTTGGTGAAACAGATGCATTCCCAGTACAAGTATACAACACTTTCACAAAGCTGTCAAGCATGGACAGTACAGCCATAGCTGGAGGAGACATAGAAGGCAGAGAGTCCTCATCAGCACTGGAAGCACTGGATGTGTTTGACAACTCACAGGAGGCAGGTAAGTTGTCACTGAGATGGAAAGGAAACTCAAGAAAGTAGGAAAAACTGGGTGTTGCAGCAGGTCTATTCCTTAAGGAAAGCTATTCCTTTTCTTGTGTAAACTGACAAGGCTGGTAAATGGCAAAGCAGGATAATTTTTACTCAGTGATGCCTGTAGATATTCTGCTTTTAACAGGGGTAAGGCAACAGCCCTTTATTGATCCTCTTCTGGCAGTGTTAGACACTGTACTCTTATTTGTATCATATGGCTTCACAATATTTTGGGAATATTGATTAACTCCTTTCAGTGGAGACAAAGGGATTCTCCAGTAGAAGATTTGAATCTATCCAGTAAAGTGCCAGAGGAGACTCAAAAAGTAAAGCCAGAAATGAGAACATTAAGACAAATTGGAATAAGGCTTAGGAAGCAGTTAAAAAGCCTGAATATTGAAGGCATAAGTTAGCTGCAGTTCAAACACTATGGAACTGAGGCACTTAAAATATTCATAATATGATATTCCTTAGTGTAACAAAAAAGACCAATGTCAAGCAGCTACCCTACCAGTCCATGACAGTGTATCTAGTCCTTTATAGATGAAAGTATAAGCCAGAAAATTTAATGGCACTGCCTGAGTAAAAATCTGAAGTATACCCAACTCAGTAAAAAATTACTGCCATACTTAAACTTCTTTTTGCACTCTTTATATAAGCCTAAACACTCCTTAGAGTCATAAAAAAACCCAAAATTCTACTCTTAGTTCTGTATATTATATTTTTGTTAAAGACAGAAAAATAAAAACACGGAAAGAAATTTTTTTCTTCTTCTTTACAAATAATCTAAAAGACCAATATATAAAGTACTGTGTATGGTTAATATTTTACTGATAATATATATGTTTTTTCCCTGAAAGGTCTCAATCTCTTCCTGGAAGAAACCTTTTGAACATCATGAAGCCATCTAAACATATCCTGCAATCGTAGCAAATTCAGTCAGGATTACTGCATCAATATTTAGGCTTTTGATTCTGCTGACAAAGTTTAAATCTCTGCACCTAATATATACCTCCTGTTTCTCCAAGCCACAAGGAACACTTTCCAAGACCAAATCTCCACAGCAATCCCTTCAGCTTTTTAGTTTAAAGGAATTTTGGCCTGTGACGTTGGTTACGAGAGCTGGAGAATCTGTGTTACCTGCCAAAAGTCTGGTAACACATGATGAACAGATAAGCACCTCAAAGCCCTGACTCTGTGCAAAGACTCCAGGTATGAGGAATCACAAAGACAAATCTCTAATGACCCTGTGGCAAACGCCTGCAACACGAGTAAGGGCTCATAATGCTTCATAGCACATGTATGTAAATAGCTCATGTTTCTGTTCAGATTCCAGTCAGAGGAAAGGTGAGGAAATAAGAGTTCAGTTCTGAGTAAATGCAGACATGTTGCTGTGGCTTTTCTCATTGAAACACAAGAGCAGTGTTTAGGCTTTGTAGGTTTGATTTTTTTTCCTTTTCCAGTTTGAATACAAAATGAAATGTTTAGTTCAAGGAGTTAATGGGTTAGAATCACAAAACTACTGAAGAGCAGGGGCTTTATCTTTTACACCACCACTCAGTGACTAAGACCATGATATATGAAAGAGATACCAGGTTACAGTTTCTTCCTCTTCTTCCTGAAACAGGATAACATTACTACCTTCTCATACTTCAGCATTTATTTGTATTCATTGACAAATTTTCTTCTTCTCCTGTCTGCTCTCTGTGCACAGGTAGCTTCTTATCCTACTTTCAGCTGTTCCATTCACAGAAGAGTCTTCTTCTCCTCACTCTTTTGTGCAAATTTACAAGGCAAATATCATAATCTGACTCTAAAGGTTATTAAATACTATTGTGAGAAATCTATATATGTTTTCTGCTTACCTAGTTTCTAAAAAGGGGAAAGGAGAGATGAGGGACAAGCCCAAAAATAATGACAGAACTGGAGAAAATTTTTGGCAATATTCTCCTATCTTCTGGCTACTGTATCATGCTCATTCATATCAGCAGACATGATTCATCCACTTTATACAGCTGCTATTGTTTGTGAAAGCATCCCTCCTATTTTACTTTTTCATGTAAAGCTCTCTTCATTTCATTAGGTATTTCATCAAGGTGTCATCACAAGATTTTTGTTTATTTGTTTCAATTTGGTTTTTCCTGAATGTGTACATCATGACTTTTGTAATCACCAGGACTCCTTACAAGATTTTAATTCAGAAATGGATTTTGTACTTGATTAAAGACAACAAGAAATTCACCTGGAATAGTACACACACATACACACACACACACACACACACACACACATACACACGAAGGAAACAAATGAAAGTAAGCCTTCAGTTACAGCACTGTTCTCTACTGTCTGAGTTATTAGACAGTCCAGTGCTTTTTATCAGCCAACCTCTTTCTCTCTCCTAAAGCTTTAAACAAATACATGTGCTCATTACAGATTGCAGTGGAATACAGCAACAAGTGTTTCAAAACTGGCATGGATGTGAAAGGGAATAAACAAGCTACGGTAGATTAAACACTGTTGAGTGCTGCTTTTCTGTCACTGTCAGTGTATAGCAAAGAATCCCATGTTATTTTACTCTTTCTGTCCTTGTAATGTATGCCGGATACCTATAATTTATGACACAGAGCCATTGCTTCATGAGTTGCACTTCCTTTTAAACTGATGCTGAACTCGTTAGTGGGGGAAATGTGACAGGTTGATAGTGGTTTCTTATCTGCAGGTTAAGCATTGTCAGAATAATTCATGGCCAGGCAACTGTTAGAACAGTAATGTTTTTATAATTAGAGCTGGAGTGGACCGTTCACTAAGGTTTTGAGGTACAGCAAACAAGCCCCCATTCCCATCAGTCTGAAGCTCAGTTGTCTTCTCATCTATCAGACTTCAGGGAGCAAAAATTCTGAAACTCAATCTACTCAATCTACTGAGCTTGAAAGAAATGTCCCAAGAATTGAAGCTACCATCTCTTTCCAGAAATAAGAAGATTTACTTAAAAATCATGACACTTTCTTGGGGTGCAATGTTATTTTTCTTTTTTGTCCTTGCTACCATAAATCATTAAGATATGTGCTTTGAAGCTTCTGTTCTATCAAGGCCAGAATTTGGATTTCTAGTTTGGTGAGCAAAGGTTACAATTCCTTTGAAATTCTGTGACTCAAGAAATGGAGATTTAGAACACAGATTGTGAAACTAATGACAAAAATCACAAAAGCTCATTCTAAAAAGGTCACAATCCAAATGAAGTCTTCCTAATACAAGTTTAATTGCTCTGTTGAACTGTACTGACTTACATCAACTGAGTAATCTAGTTTGGTCTTTGATTTCAAGAGTGCACATACTCCAACAACTGTACAAGTAAATGCCTGTAAATGGGTATTTTAATATC